TAGAATTCCCCTTTTTCTTTAAGAGGGGAACCTTGAATTTTGAAGAACTTAAAAGTCGTTAAAAGACATCTTAGAAGTCAGGAAAACTCATTTAGGGATTTCTTTGGGACTGGAAAAATAATAACCAAAAGGTCCACTGACAGTGGAACTTCTAATAAAGTAAGCCACAGAAATGAATAACAATTATACTTCACATACATCCTTACAGATTCAGATAATTTATTGACCAAATATACCATGAAGATATATAAAATGGAATTGGTTTGAATGCAGGTTAACATTTACAAATAAATGTAAACAAACTAAACTTACTGAAACATATACAGTAATAACAATTATATGGTACAGTACATACATATCAAATTCAGATTTTATGGTCAAAGTATACAGTACATGAATATTTCTAAATTGATTAGGATTTAATACAGATTAACATTTATAATGAATCCAAAAAAAGCTAAGCTTATTAACTATTAAATCATATACAGTATATTCCTTTTTATGATGATGAAATGATAAAAATACTTCTCCCCTCCCCCTCTTTTAAATATTTTCCTGTTCCCCCACCCCCCCACTTTGAATCAGATTACTTATGCAGATTAGAATTTATAAGAAACCTTTAAAATGTATATAGGAATAATCAATCTGGCTCAACGCATGTTATTCATTTAATGGGTGTATGCCCGTAGGTGTATTTATAATATACCCTCTGTTGTGAGCTTGTTAGGTTTTTTTTATACAAAAAATCCAAAAGGAAATATACAGGTATTAAAAAAAAAATAAACCAACTTGTAAATATCAAAATTTATGAAAATCAAAGAGATAGGCTGAACAAAAAAACCCCAATAGATTCAAAAGTAACATGTTTAAAATCATTATGCAAGAAACTAACATGTATATGCATTATATGATTAAAAACTTCAAATTTGCAAGCACTACAAAAAAATAAAATCATTAGATCAATAGTGTGTGATTCAAATTTGACGAGAACTACACTAAACAAACGAGGTGGCAGATTACAGTATTATTGTTTCCAGTTATATATTTTAACAGTTGAATAACAACCACCAATTCGAGACCACTTTTCCAAATGCCTAAGTAATAATTTTTAATCTTTTAAACACAAAGCTAGCCCTCTAATTGGAGACCAACCCTGAGACCACCCCAAATTTCAAGGTCCCAAAGGTGGTTTCAAATTGGAGGGAGAAACTGTAATTCAAAATTGAACAAGAAATTAAGCAATAAAAAAATATTTAAATAAATTTGGTTTTAAATAAAATCACAATAAAATAATGGACAGGTTAAAAAACAAGTTCCACCAATCCAACATCATAAAGATCAAAAGAAGAAAGTGTTTATGGCAGATATTGCATCTGTCACATCATGAAGATTAAAATTAAAATTTGAAAATATGATTAGGGTTGGGGTATTACTGTTTCACTTTAGTAAATCATAATGATATTAATCTATGTGAAATATTTAAAGCACTTAATCTGTGAAATTTAAAGCACTCTAATATCATCTCTGTAAAAGTTGAAGTACTCTAATATTTCTGTCTGTCCTTACATGATTATTTTTCAACCAGTCAAGTTTTGAATTCCTCCTCAGCATATCAAACAATGGCAGCAGAGTCCATGCATTGCAGGGGTAGAATAAGAAAAAGTTTGAAGCAAGTAGTATGAACAAACATTGAGAATTCTAGGAAGAATATTGCAAACCTTGATAGTCTTTAAGAGGATCATACAACAAGCAGAGTACTGCAGAGTAGAACAGAACAAGAGGTGAGGAAATAACTAGAATAGGAGATTACACTGA